CAAGCAATCTCTGAAAGCCCACCCGTTGCCATTTACTAATTCCATGCAAATAAATATTTATGATATGAATTTAAATGTCAGGGGCAAGCACAGTGTGAAATATCACTAAATGCCATAAACAGTTCAAGAGATGAAACTGGTTCTCTCTTAAAATGCTATCTTCCCAAACTAGTTGTCAAGTCCCAAATGTTGAGCTTGGCTGGGTGTTAAAACAATCCCTGTCATAGTCATTTGCAGGTGTCGTGCCAGGGTTGGATGTTCCATTTTTCTCTTTCTGTTCGTTTGGTGGTGGTGGTTGTTGTTGTTGTTGTTTAGAATTTTTTTTTAATATTTATTTTTTAGTTTTCGGCGGGCACAACATCTTTGTTTGTATGTGGTGCTGAGGATCGAACCTGGGCCGCACGCATGCCAGGCGAGCACGCTACCGCTTGAGCCACATCCCCAGCCCCGGTTGTTGTTGTTTTTAAGTTGTAGATGGACACAGTTCATTTATTTATTTATGTGGTACTGAGGATCAAACCCGGGGCCTCATACATGCTAGGTAAATGCTCCACCACTGAGCCACAACCCCAGCCCTGGTTGGTTGTTTTTAATAAATACCATTTCTGAGTGGTGAGTGCTCATTATCAGTGGAACTCATGGAAACAGTTGTGGATTCTGCCAGATTTCTGAACATAGCCAAACAGTGAATGCTGGAGAGGCTGAGGGTAGATAGCTGGTGGAACAGGACCTCCACATTAGGTAACCATTAAAAAGGAGGGATAGCTGGACTTGGGAGGCTGAGGCAAGAGAATCATGAATTCAAAGCCAGCCTCAGAAAAGGTGAGGTGCTAAGCAATTCAGCGAGACCTCTCTAAATAAAATATAAAACAGGGCTGGAGATGTGACTCGGTGGTTAAGTACCCTTGGGTTCAATTCCCAGTACCAAAAAAAAGGAGGGGTGATTCTTAATATCTTCACATATTCTTCAAGAGCATACCTTCATTAAATTGATTTAACTTTAACTTAAGAGGAGAAATACCTATGCTGCTCTTGAGATAATGGGTTGTTTTATTCTAGTAATTTTTAGTGACCTTTTTAATTATTAAAACTACCTAATGGAGAGGTTTTTCTTATTCCTTTATCTAATAAGAATTTCTAGCCTCAATATTCCATTCCCTGAAATAAAATGCAAATTTGCCCTGAACTGTAGTTTTAAAAACAAAAGTCTGTTTTCTTAGATTACTTCATAAATAACGAGTACCATATCAGCTCTCCTCTCCCCCTTCACATTGTGGCGATTACAGGTAAATGCTCAATATCACCGCGCAGCACAAAATAAATAAGCTTCCAAGGTTTCCTAGCAACATATTGTTCTGGGAACCTGCTGTTTCCCTGAACAAAATGAAGCCAAACATCCTAGAATCTCAGCCAGATGGGAAAGGATTAGCTTATGGAGGATGTTTCGTGTATTTTTTTTTTTAAATTCACTTGGAAATGAACCTTTTAACATAAGTAGCTTAAAAAAAAACACTCTTTTACATGTAAAAAAATCTTAGTGATAGAAAAAAAATGGTTTTAGAAGAATTTTCTAGGAACAAGTTGCAATATGTAATTCAGTCATTGATGAACAGATCCATTTTAGAACAGTAGAAAATGCTTCCACCTGGGACTGAAATTCAGCCTTCACCCTGCGGTACCGCATCCCAATTGCAAAGATGTTGAACACCTCCCATCTGGTGGGTTGGGGCTGCTTCAAGGCACGTTCAGCTGCCCCCACGCCCTGCTTCTGGGGATACACTCAACACCTTGCCACTGCATAAAACCCTGGGACTTCTCCCCTCTTTTCCAGGGCTCCAGGGTTGTTTCATTTGCTACTTGATCTTCAGAGTCTGTGTCTGGTTTTTTGATTAGTTCATACAGAGAAAGGGAATTACAATCGAATTCCAGAAAAATCTAGAAAAATATGGTTGTTTTCCTAGCACGGGTCTGTGTGTTTCCCTTGTTTATCTAGCCATCTGTGAAGTCACACAGTTGGTAGGTGGTGCTTTCCTTCCTGCTGCTCTCTGGTTGGTCACAGTGCATTGTGGAAGGTCTCTGGAGATGGATTAGTGTTTCTCATGACCGCACTCAATGGTGGCCTTGTAATTCAGTTACACCCTCGAAAGTGTCCCCATTTGTTGGAAAGGGAGATATTTTTTCATCAGCCAGATGAATATTCTCACAACGTGGTTGTCTAGTGATTTGGACTGAGTTTGTGAAACTTCCCAACTGTGCTCAGAAGCAGAAAATTCCAGAATTTCACAGTGCTCCTGGATAGAAATAACAAAGTAATTAGAATGAAGAGAATGATACCTGGAGTCTGCTTTTTTTTAATATTTATTTTTTAATTTTAGGTGGATACAATGTCTTTATTTTATTTTATGTGGTTCTGAGAATCGAACCCAGTGCCTCACGCATACTAGGCAAGCACGCTACCACCTAAGCCACATCCCCAGCCCTGTAGTCTGCTTTTTAATTTAACTCTCTAGTCAGATTCCAGAGTATTAAAACTGTCTTTAAAATTATAAAATAATTATGAATATGCTGGTTGCTTTCCATTCTCTTCGGCTGTCTCTCACACACATACATGTTTTCCAAACGTCATACTTTGAACCGAGGAAGAACCTGTCGAGGGCCCAGGATAGACCCATCCTGTGCTCATTGTCATGGTGGATACCGAGGGTACAGACCACGTCCTTGCCTTCCTGCTCCTCAAGATGTTTGCAAAGTGGCATGTTTATAATCTCAAAAACAAAACTGCTTTTCTTCATTTCAAGTCCCTTTCTCAGGCATCTAAACACTAAGGAAAGATTTTGATGTTTAAAGGAATTACATGGGGCAGTGTAGCTCAGTGGTAGAGCACTTGCCTTGCAAATGCGAGGCCCTGGGTTCAATCCTCAGCACCACATAAAAATAAATAAATAAAATAAAGGAATTGTAAAAAGAAAACATGGTATATATAGACAATGGAATATAAAAATAAAAAATAAAGGCATTGTGTCCAACTACAACTTATAAAAAATAAATAAAGGAATTACATAATTTGGCCTTTTAAAGAAAGGCTGAAAGTAGACCTGATTTGTCATGTGGAGCAGAATAGGTTGTAATATGTTCATTTCGACTAAAGCTTTTTTTTTTTTAATTCAAAATTTTCTATTATCCAAGCATTTCTTTAGATTTCTCATTTATATGTTATTTAACTCTCCTGTCAAGCATTATGAGGTAGAAATTTATTTACCCATCATTTTATAGATGAACAACTGAGGCCGAGAAGTTAAATACCTCTTTGCAGAGAGATTACAAAGTTTGTAAATAAGTAATGAGCATTGGGACCCAGGTTTGTCCAGTGCCAAATTCTATGATCTTTATGGTATGCTGTGTTTATTTATTTATTTTTAAAATCAAAGATTCTATATGATTCCAGTCCTTTCAGAAAGAGTCAACTACTGTCTTTTGAGGATGACATTATTTTAGCAAGAAGTAGATGAGTTGTTTATAGATGTTGAGATGATTTATTGTTGTTTCAGTACAGTGATACTGTATTTTTTCAAGTTTTATCGTCAAATTTTAGATCTTTGTTTTTGATATATTAACCCATTTAAAGACATTTATTATTGCTCATCTTTTTACTTCTATTAAACAATTTTTATTTTCAATATGATAGAAGACTGAATTACACTTAATGATAGTTAAAATTAATAGTACTATTAAATACATAGATAAGAAGAGTTGTGACAACAGTATTTAAAATAGGTGGACAGACCGTGGCTGTTTTTGTGAATGGAGCTTTGCTGGAACATAGCCACACTCATCCCCTTATGTGTCACCTGAGGCAGCTTTTTTGTTGTTGTTCTATTAAGTTATATATGACAGTAGAATGCACTTTGACACGTCATGTATAAATGGGAGTATAACTTCTCATTCTTCTGGTTGTACTTGATATAGAATCACACCTGTCATGTCATCATTTATGCACAATAGGGTAATTATGTCTAATTCATTCTACTACCCTTCATACCCCTCCCCTCTCTTCACTCCCTTCTGCCTAACCCCAAGTAACTCTATTCTTTCATAGCTCCAGCATCCCTGCTTTATTTTGAATTAGCATCCACATATCAGAGAAAACATTTGGCCTGTGTTTTTTTTGGATTGGCTTATTTTGCTTAGCATGATATTCTCTAGTTCCATCCATTTATTGGCAAATGCCATCATTTTATTCTTCTTTAAGGCTTAGTAATATTCTATTGTGTGTGTGTGTGTGTGTGTGTGTATACATTTTCTTTATCCATTCATCTGTTGAAAGACACCTAGGTTGGTTCCATAGTTTAGCTATTGTGAGTTGTGCTGCTATATACATGGATGTGGCTGCATCACTGTAGTATGCTGATTTTGAGTCCTGGGTATAAACTGAGGAGTGGGATAGCTGGGTCAAATGGTGGTTCCATTCCAACTTTTCTGAGGAATCTCCATACCACTTTTCATAATGGTTGCACTAATTTGCTGTCTCACTAGCAATGTATGAGTGTGCCTTTTTCCCCCATCTTCATGCAATAGCAAGAGTTGAATGGCTGTGACCTTGATCTTATTGCCTGTACAGCCAAAAATACACTCTCTGGCCCTTTACGGGAGAAGTTTGCCAAGCCTTGCTTTAGAATCTAGGCTTCCCCCCAGCCTTTGGCTGGGAATGTTCCTTTAGAATGCCAGAAGCATTGGGAAGTTTTTTTTCCCAGCCAGGTGTGGTGGCACATGCCTGTAATCCTAGAGACTCTGGAGGCCGAGGCAGGAGGATGGCAAGTTCAAGGACAGCCTTGGCAACTTAGTGAGACCCTGTCTCTAAATAAATAAATAAATAGAAAGGACTGGGGATGTAGCTCAGTGGTAGAGCACCCCTGGGTTCAATCCCAGTATTGTGGTGTGGGGGGGCAGCGGGGATCCTAAATGATTGTCTTGTCTAATGCAATTTTCTCAAAACTCTGCAGGTACCAACCAAAAAGCTGAAAAAATATGAAAAAGAATATCAGACAATGCGAGAGAGTCAGCTGCAGCAGGAAGACCCAATGGATAGATACAAGGTATGGGAGGTACTGTGCACCTGTCAGCAGTGTGCCTTTTTATCTGAAAGCAGCAGTTGTGGGGATTTCATTTCCCTCTGGCCCACCCCGATCCACCGAGCACTGTCTTGTCATGCTGACTGTCCAGGTGTGTCTTCGTTTCTGGAGACTCCCAAGTAGCCAACCATAATATTTCTTTTCTCTCAGTTTGTATATTTGTAGGTAACTCCAGCTGTTGCATTTATACTGGAAATCTTCATAAGAAGCTGAGAGAAAGGGAAAAAGAAAATGAGAAAGTGGCTTTCTACTTTCAAAAATGAGAAAAAAAGGAAAATGGCAAAGTACTGTTTTAGCTGTGCATGATCACTTCCTCAGAGACTTTTAGAAGGTGAACTGTTGCAAGACTGGCACAAGGATGTTTCAAACTTATTTCTGCCTGTAGCAAATGTTAAAAAGACAGACTTATTTTGGAAGGAAAAATAAAAAACCACAAAGGTACCTCAAGCCCAGTAATGGAGTTTGTTGCAGCATTTACTTCTATAAACAAATTCATGGGTAATGGTGACATTTGACACAGTATGCAGTCTTAGAATCAAAGTGATTTTATTTTAATCTCTTAATTGTGGATTTTTTTTTAAATTAGGCTATTTGTGATCACAATAGTAATTAGCAACACTGGTCCCTGAATAATGTTGGGAAATACTGATTGCCAACTTACTTTTTCCAAGTGAAACATTTTTGTCTTAATTCTTCAGACTCATGCAGATGCACAAGTCCCTCCCTCTCATTACCCCACTAATGCCAAAATGTCCTGCCAAGAGAAGTATTATGGTAGCCTTGTTAATGAAATCACCCAGAGTGGGATGGCTTCCACCGTGGTAACTAGAGTTGCCTTTATGTGGGCAGCACAGTCACACAGTGCATCTTCACTGTGTTGCTGAACTGAACAGCGGGGAATGTGTACATAGGAGCAGGGTGGAAGGAGTGTATGGGTTTTGTAGTCAGAAGACCTGAATTGAAATTGTGGCTCTTAAGAGAAAGGGCACAGGATTTGGAAACCTAATTGGAGATTTTAGAATCTATGCTGCTGTTCAGCATCTTGGACTAGTTATTGAACCTTTTTCACATCTGTTAAATGTGTAGTGCACATAATTTCTTGATGGATTTGTGCGAGGTTGAGGGATGTTGTGTGTTAAGTACTCGGCACAGGGTTAATGTTCAGTAAACTTGGTTATTATTAGCTTATGAAGACTACTACCACAAGTTATCCAAGAATTACTGAAATAACATAACCTCACATTGGTCTGCCCCTCCAGTCCCTCATGGATCTTCCTCTATTTCTCCCAGGTATTGCTACTGAGTAACCTACCACCAGTCAGTATGCTTCTCCCCTTGCTTATAGAACTGGCTCAGGAGCTGTGAATAAAATCCCACATAGAGCTACGACAGATAACTACCACCAGATAAGAGCTAAAGCTACTTCCCACCACCATTGTTCCACAATAAGTCCAATTTTAATGTTGGTCCTATAACACTCTACTGTAAAAAGTTTTGAAGGTAGTAATGGTAGATCCAGAATGAAACCCTACTACTGCTTATATAGTTTTAATTTCCTTAATGCCACTATCATTATGGAAAAAAAATCTGAAGAGTGCTTTAAAGTAAAAGAGGAAAATGAAAACCCAGCCTTGTACTTTTAAAAACAGGCTAGGACTGAACTGTTACCATGTTTTTCTTTCTTTTGTCAAAGCAGGTATGTATAAATAAATAGTAAAATGTGTGTTATTTTTAAAAAGTGCTTATAACATGTAGGATTATCAGTTAGTATATTTTTCATTGAAGGACTAAATTTTCATTGAAAAATTAAACTCTATGGTTTTGTTTTGAATGCAAATATTTTAAATTCAAGTGTTGTAGTGTCTTATTTGCACATATCAGATAACCTCAGTAATTGTTCCTTTTGGATGATTGTAATAGCTTCTCACTATATTATCTAGGGTAGCATCTCTCAGTGTTTTCAACGATATCCAGGCATTTGTCTGGTGATGGGCGCGGTAAATTATAATTCCATTTTCAATATAGTTGACAACACATATGACAAGATAGTTTCCAGCCATCAACAGATTTGGTCCTTCAGATGATTAACATCTAGTTTAAGAAGCTAATGGTAAGATAGGGGATGTAGCTTAGTAGAGGAGTGCTTACCTTGCATGTAAAGTGTAAAGTGTGTAAATCCCTGGGTTCAATCCAGAATATCAAAAATTTAAAAAAAAGAAACTAATCATTATTTTAATTAAAGTAGTGAAGTATTTTAGAAAATACCTTTATAATACTTAATCTTGTCAAGAATAAGATCTCTGCTGATAATGAACACTGTAATTTTTAGATTTTGGACTAGGAACCCAGTTTAAGTAAGTGCTTTAAGAATAATGTGAGGGGTGGGCTGGGGTTGTGGCTCAGTGGTAGATTGCCTGCTGAGCATGTGTGAGGCACTGGGTTCGATTCTCAGCACCATATTAAATAAATAAATTAAGATATTTTTAAAAAATAATAACCAGGAAAGATCTTTTAAGGCATTGAGTGAGAATTTTGCATCAGTTCAGTATCCACTCCTCCCAAACTTTGGAACTCACACTGCTTAAAATGCCACGTCTACCCCTAGTTTGCCATATGGCAACAGAGTTTGGAAGACAGTGGGAATTTTTACTTATTATTTTTATTTTTAAAAAATTTTTTTCCTACTTCTTTCAATTTTTACTTTTTAAATGCCTAGAAATGTCATACAACAGAGGTATTTCAGATGATGCTATTTCTCATGGTCTTGGTGGCATACATCAAAGTGCTCTTGTAACCGGGCATGGCAGTACACACCTGGAGTCCCAGCTACTTGGGAAGTTGAAGCATGAGGATCACCTGTGCTCACAAATTTAAGACCAGCCTGAACAACTTATCAAGACCCTATGTTTAAAAAAAAAAAAAAAAAGGTATGGCAGAAAAGGCAGAATTTGAATCAAAGATGGCCCTTAGAATTGCAGTCATACTTCTTGCTGTGTCCGTCTAAGCATGTGCTTGTGCATATTTTTATGACATATGCAAACATTTACTTTCTCGAGTTACCTAGCCATTCTCACTTTTATCCAACACTTCAATCTCAGACAAAAAAAATACAATAAAATAATGTTAGTATAAATTTAAATTCTAAAACCATAATCATGATGAAAAATGTTCTGAGTTTAGGCAGTGATAATGGTCACACAATTTTGTGAATATCCTAAAGCCACTAAATTGTACATTTTAAGAGCATGGTTTTATGGTAGGTAAATTACAGCCCTCCACCAAAGGAAAAACAAACCCAAGCTAAATGTTCTAGTCTACCATCTTCCTTTTTATGGACCCCAAATCACACCAGATGTACCTGTGTAGAAGCCACACTGGTGGGAAGGAGGCCTTCCTGTCAGAATCTGAGCTAATTAATGATCATCAACCCCATGTGTACCCTTATTTGTAGGGGAAAGACGAAGACAAATGGGTGGTATGTTCATTTTTAGTGATGCTTTTTAATTTCTAGATATAATATTAGCAGTGCCTACACATACATATGCACAGAGACATGTGCATACGCGAATAGGTGACACCCACACATCCTGCACTGCCTGTCTTGGCATCAGTTGTATGTGACCTCAGTGAACCCCACATCACCTGCTTCAGGGTTCTCTTTCTGGTTCATTTCATGACAAGATTCAAAAGACAGAAAGGAATATAGAATATTTTAAATCGTTTTTAACATCCTTCTTAACTTGGGGTTGGCTCAATTTGTGGAATAGTCTTTATCTACTCCAGTGTTTTGATTTGTGAATTTCTTGATTGATTTCTAATGAGGTGGAATGTGGGGTGAGGATATAGCTATAGAAATGCATCAAGTACATTTCCACTTTTGCACAACTCCCCAGAAAACATGTTTATGGATAGGTATAGTTACTTTAGAACATTTTTAAAATTAGTAATCAAGCCCCTAGCAAACACCCATTTCAGAATCAAAATACTGTTTCTATCTTAAGGTAGTGAAATGTTTTTGTTTTGTTTGGGGGGGTGCCCCCCCAGCCACAGGGGTGGAGTACCAGGGATTAAACTCAGGGGAACTCACCCGCTGAGCCACATCCCCAGCTCTATTTTGTATTTTAGTTAGAGACAGGATCTCACTATTGCTGAGGCTGGCTTTGAACTCTAGATTCTTCTCTCCTTCCTCAGCCTCCTGAGCTGCTGGGATCACAGGCATGCGCCACTGTGCCCAGCAGTGAAATGAAATGTTATTGTGAGGAAAGGTGGTTTCTAGGGACATAAGACTTTGTGCATATGCTCTTCCTTTTAATTAGAGAACTATTCACAAATGGGGGCAAGCCTTGAAAATGCAGCTAAGTAATTTAATTAAGTTCAGTGAATCTCCCAGAGCATAGTTAAGGTTACCTGTTCTGGATGGGAAAATCCTACAGAGTCTGGAAAGCTCAACTCTCGAGTTTGAGATACAGATAGTATTTTCTTTTCTTCTCCTCCTTCCTTCTTTCCACAATACAAAGGACTGAACTAGGGGCACTTTACTATTTTTGTAGAGCAATTGTTACTATGTATAATTTTTAAAGCTTTTTAAATTATACATAGTAAAAAATCATACAAAATAGTGACATAAAACTTAATTATACTTATATTATTTGCCATTTTCATGTATTTATTAAAATGATTTAGAGCAACTGTCACATTTTAAAAACTTGAACAAATGAACATGTTTAAATTGTAGTAAATTTCTTACCTATAAACTCTTTTGTTTATAGGTACTTTCCTCCCTCTGTGTTGGGTCTTTCCTTGCTCATGGAAGTCAAGATAAGTGAATCCATGTTGAAAAATGTTGTTCTGCCAGTGAAAGCTTACATTTTATCATTTTCTCATGAAAGGGTACTGTTACTGGCTTTCAGAAATATTTATTTTAGGACATATGTTTTTAATAGTAATGGACACAAGTTGCTTGT